TTGGAACTTACAAAATAATTTTTGTCACGTGAAACACGAAAAGAAATTTTTTACACAAATTGTAATTTTTTTTCATGCAAATTATTCTAAGAGTTAAAATAGGTTATCATCACTCAGAAAATATTTTTTCGATACTTCGTGCGCAAAGTGCGTCTTTTCTGCGTGCTTGGTAGAAAACATGCATTCAAAACACAGGCACACAAAAAAAAGTAGGCTATTCGAAAGATGACACCTATGTACTTTTATGTTTTTTGGTGCGCTGAATCCGAATCCACCGTCAGAATTGGTCCTACACCCTTCAGTTACTCGTAATCAGGGTAAACTACCCCTAAAATTCAGAAAATCCCTTCTTAACATGGATTTTTCCGTTTAGAATACATTTTCATAGATAAGTTGAACCTCGGTGTATCAACTACAGTTCTGTATTTTAATGGCCTGAAATTTAATTTAGGTGTTTCAGAGTCATGCGACCCCCTAAAGTCTGCATAAAACCACCCCTAATACGGAAAAATTCTTGATACGGTAGAAAATTGCGGGGACTGACGGAAATATAGTATCCGGTGCCAAGCTTAGAGAATAAAGTTGCACGTATACTCAGGTGCAAAGCATCTTTTAAAGGTTTTCGAAATTCGCAAGCCCCTAAGTCTACAGAAAACCACCCCTAATCTAGAAAATTCCCTGTCTAAACGAAAAACTGCGTTAATAGTATAAGAATATCAAATGCTGAGTAAAATTGTACGTACTCTCAGAGGCAGAACAGGATTTAGAAATTTTCGAAACTCGCAGCTTCCTAAGTCTGAAGAAAACTGTACCTTCATCCGGAACACAATATAGGAATTTCAATTCGAAAGAAAAAGAATTTCCTTTTAAAGTAACGGTAAGAAAAATTTTGATAGTGAAAAAATTATTCTGTGTCTGCATGAACTGATTCGGTCAAACTGATATGGTCAAAACCTATTTGTAAAGATGATTGCTATTTCTGCAAACATCGCAGGCTTCAGTATCAACAACAAATCGAAGATGCAAAAGCCGATTAAAACAGAAACAGAGGAAGGAACGGTACATGAACCTATGGATATTGATAATTTAGAAGAGTGTAACGGTCCTATATATGAGCTATTTATTAAATTATTAAATGACTGCAACTAGTCTAACGTATTTATCTGTTTAGTCAAAACAATACATTAAGTGGCGCTACCTCACTGTTTACGCGACTATATACAAATAAGAGTCGAGTCAAAACAAATAGCGTGACGTCACAAATAATAGACATAGATATAATGATCCATAATATTGAGAAAAATATGTTAATTATAGATAATTTGAATATAACAAAGTATCGATTATATAGATTTTAACATACAGATTCACAATATCTCATTCAATTATAAATTAATAATGAATATCAATATGTAAAGTTAATTTATTTATTAACATATGAAATATTAGAAAAATATAAATAATTTATATGTAAAATGAATAAGCATAGAACATGAGTAAGAATTGGTTTCATTAATAACAGCTAAATAACAACTGTTATTAATAAATAAACAATTAATAATTTATTTAAACAATAAGCTATATATAGAACGAAAATATTAAGTTAATACTTGATAATGACAATTTTATGATTTAGAAATCTTAGATAATTAATCTAATAATCGCATATTAAGATTACAAGAAAACCGTTACAAATATGAAAAATTAGTCATAATTCAAATGTTATTAATTAATTTAAATAATTAATTTTGGAAAATACTTCCAAAATTAATCAACTTTAAGGTTATATGAAATTTTAACAATTTTCTATTGTAAATAATGTAATATCACGTTAATTAACTTTATTAGTTAATAACTTTTGACGACACTATTGGCGATAATTGTATACTGTATAAAATCAACAAATAACTAATTCTGTAAAATTTACATGTGTTAAAAACTTAATATTAATGGCTATTTACTTGTAAATTAAGAAAAATCATTTCTCAAAATTCGCGAATGTCTCTCGAATTTTCGATGAAATCTCTCCTGCAATAATAAGCGGGAAAATCTATGTATAAATAGGCCCACCTTTGCACAGGCTTGATTCATTCACTTCTAGCCTTGCAAAGTGAGCGCATGAGTTTGAATAAACTTGGATTAACACCTAAGTTCTTTCTCTCATTGTGATTTACTAAGCAAGACTAACCTTTCCTTATAATTTGAGCTCGACTTATAGAACATCTCGCGCTATAAGAAACTTGGGCCAAATTATATTCTATCAAAGAAAGACTTTAGCTCTGCTTATGGGACAATTCGCATCATAAGAAACTAGGGCATTGTCTGACTTTCCTCGATATATTGCAATTACTTATATATATTTGATTTACTTATTCATTATATTCATTTCACTTATCTATTTTCTTGACAATTAGAGTAAAATCATCAGAAACAAATTCTTACTCATTAGCTAGATTACGAGAGTTCGAATTATTTTTATTTATAAGTGATACGAACATCACAAGAGGAAGATGATGATTGGAATGAGAAAAGCTTCGAGGAGGATAGTGTAAAATACGATGCAGATGGGGAATATATCATATCGAAAACGGCAACCCATCAGACTTTCACTCAACAGGAATTGAACGATCTCATTCGTGAACTAGGACTGCCTAAGGGTGGAACTGAACATTTGGTCGTAGCACTGAAGAAGGAATACTTGCTATCGAAAGGAACAACCGCTTATACTTACCCAAACACAGAACAAAGTTTCAGGAAATTTTTGACGAAGGATAATGGAAAGTCATTGGTATATTGTTCGGATATGAAAGGTTTCATAGATGAAATTAAACCAAATGTTTATAGAGACGAGGAATAGAGGTTATAGTATTTATCGATTCCTCGAAGCGAAACCTCAAAGCTGTTCTTCTTCACGATGAAAATACCTTCGCACTTCTTCTAATATCACATTCCACCAAGCTCAAAGAGACGTATAAGAATTTAGAAATAGTTCTAGAGAAGATCAAATACGTAGAGCACAAATAGAAAATATGCGGTGATCTGAAGATCGCACCACTTATTCTTGGTCAACAGTCAGGATTCACTAAATATCCCTGCTTCATCTGTTTGTGAGATAGTAAAGATCGAATCAACCACTATAAATGAATGTTCTAGGAGAGGAGAAATGGAACTAGGCTCTAAATATATTATACGTAAATCTCTGGTTGAGCCCACAAATATCCTCTTGCCTCCACTTCACATAAAACTTGGTCTTATGAAACAGCTTGTCAAAGCTCTAAACAAAGATGGTGATTGTTTCGCATACTTGGGAATGAAATTTCTGGGAATGAGCGATGTGAAATTAAAAGAAGAAATCTTCAACGGACCACAAATTCGAACCTTATTTGCAGATCAGTACTTTGTTTCGAGAATGAACGATACCGAGAAGAAAGCTTCAAAGATGAAGCTTCAATGATTCAGCTTTGAAGCTTCGAGATGGATCCGGTTCAAAGCTGTAGCATAAAACTTCCTGGGAAATCAAAAAAGTGATCAGTATCAGATTCTAGTTAATGAACTGCTGGAGAATTATCAGAAATTGGGTTGTTTGATGAATTTGAAATTACATTTGCTGCATTTTTATCTGGACTATTTTCCTGCAAATCTCGGGGACTACAGTGAAGAACAAGGTGAACGATTTCATCAGGATATACAGGAAATGGAACGTAGATACCATGGAAGATGGGACATAAACATGATGGCAAATTTCTCTTGGATTTTAAAGAGGGATATTCAAACCAAAGGAAAGAACAGAAAAAGAAATCCACTACACAGATCGTTTGAAGAGACGAGGGTTCGGTGCAAACGAAGAAAATGACGAATTTCTGAAATAATTTACGGCTATTTTACTGTAATTGTAATACAGAATTAGTTCATGCAGACACAGAATAATTTTTTCACTATCAAAATTTTTCTTACCGTTACTTTAAAAGGAAATTCTTTTTCTTTCGAATTGAAATTCCTATATTGTGTTCCGGATGAAGGTACAGTTTTCTTCAGACTTAGGAAGCTGCGAGTTTCGAAAATTTCTAAATCCTGTTCTGCCTCTGAGAGTAGGTACAATTTTACTCAGCATTTGATATTCTTATACTATTAACGCAGTTTTTCGTTTAGACAGGGAATTTTCTAGATTAGGGGTGGTTTTCTGTAGACTTAGGGGCTTGCGAATTTCGAAAACCTTTAAAAGATGCTTTGCACCTGAGTATACGTGCAACTTTATTCTCTAAGCTTGGCACCGGATACTATATTTCCGTCAGTCCCCGCAATTTTCTACCGTATCAAGAATTTTTCCGTATTAGGGGTGGTTTTATGCAGACCTTAGGGGGTCGCATGACTCTGAAACACCTAAATTAAATTTCAGGCCATTAAAATACAGAACTGTAGTTGATACACCGAGGTTCAACTTATCTATGAAAATGTATTCTAAACGGAAAAATCCAACTTTAGAAGGGATTTTCTCAATTTTAGGGGTAGTTTACCCTGATTACGAGTAACTGAAGGGTGTAGGACCAATTCTGACTGTGGATTCGGATTTAGCGCACCAACAAACATAAGGGTACATAGGTGCCATCTTTGAAACAACCCACATTGTTTTTGTGTGTGCCTGTGAAATTGCACTTTCCATACGTCGTATAAAACAATACGGTACGACCAATGTTCGGGAAAGATTTTTTCGTCTCGTATATCTTTCCACACTCGCTTCGCTCGAGCGAGAATGCCACACGAGACGAGAACCTACTTTCCCGCGCTTGTATCGTAATGTTCTATTTACGTATTTTAGCGCATCAGTTTAGTGTCAAAAAAGTTGAAAAATGTTTTTATATATTTTCTTTAAGAGAAATTGATTCGAACATGGAGTTTGATTCAGATAATAAATCTTTAATGAAAATCAATTATTTCAGTACAAATAATTTTTACAATATCTTTACAAATTTGTAATTTTTATATTTTTTTCTCTTGTTTAGTACTGTTATAGGATTGAAAGGAAAAGATGCTGTTGTATTTGCTGTTGAAAAGCTAATAACATCAAAACTGTATGAACCTCACACAAATAAACGAATGTTTAATATAGACAAACATATTGGTATGGCCATATCCGGTTTGATCTCCGACGCTCGCCAAATTGTTGAAACTTCTCGCTTAGAAGCTGCTAATTATCGAGCCCAATATGGAATTGGCATTCCACTGAAATATTTGAATGACAGAATATCTATGTATATGCATGCATATACATTATACTCATCTGTTCGACCATATGGCTGTTCAATTATTTTAAGTTCCTACGAAGATAATACCCCTGAAATATATATGATTGATCCTTCTGGAGTTTCTTATGGATACAGCGGCTGTGCAATTGGTAATGTACATTGTTTGCAAAATATTTTCAATTTTTCAATTTCTGTAGGAGTAATTATTATAGAATATCGAAGCTACTTTAATATTTTCCAATAAATTATATTAGTTACAATTTAAATTTGTGTCTATTGATGTTTTTCAATATTTATTTAGATTAATGACACATTATTGACGTTGTAAATTATAATTCTGTTCGGAAAGAAAGGGAGAAGTATGATATGATTTATTTCTTCAAGGCCATGTCATATGAAGCATCGAAATAATAATTTTACAAACAATATGTATACAAATAATGTAAAATATATAACAATATAATATATATCAAAGTGAATTAATGTGTATTAGTTAGTTCATACAATACATTAGTAAATTATTATTTTATATGAAATCAAGTACGAGGGTGGTCCGATAAGTACTTAGCCTACAAAAGAAAAACGAAAATTTTGGAAAAGTGGCGTTTTATTTTTCAACATAGTCTCCTTTTAGTTCGATACACTTGGCCCAGCGATGCTCAAACTTCTTTAACCCGTCTGAAAAATACGTTTCCTCGAGGTCTGAAAAGTAGGCTTTCGTGGCAGCGATTACCTCCTCATTCGACTCAAATTTCTTCCCGGCGAGTGACTTTTTCAAGTTTGAAAACAAAAAGAAGTCGCACGGGGCTAAATCTGGAGAATACGGTGGATGGGGCAGCAGTTTGTAGCCTAATTCGACCAATTTGGCCATGGCGACGGCGAAGGTGTGAGCTGGTGAGTTGTCATGGTGGAAGAGCACTTTTTTCTTCGCCAAATGGGGCCGTTTTTTCTGCAATTCGACTTCGAATCGGCCCAATAATTCAGCATAGTACAGCCCTGTGACCGTTTTGCCCCTCTCCAGGTAGTCGATGTAGATCACACCTTGTGAATCCCAGAAAACGGTGGCCATCACCTTTCCGGCCGATGGGGCAGTCTTCACCTTTTTCGGAGCACTTTCGCCGGGTAAAGTCCACTGCTTCGACTGTTCTTTGGTCTCTGGTGTATACCAGTGGATCCATGTTTCGTCAACTGTCACGAAACAAAGCAGAAACTCCTTCGGATTGCGTTTAAACAGCGTCAGACATTGCGATGAAGTTGTCTCACGGTTGCGCTTGTTGTCCGGTGTGAGCAAACGCGGCACCCATCGCGCCGACAGCTTTCTCATGCCCAAAATTTCATGCAGGACATGACCCACGCGGTTTTTTGAGATGCTTACGATCTTAGCTATCTCGCACACCTTCAATCGTCGATCTGCCAATACGAGATCGTGAATTTCTGTGACGTTATCCTCCGTGGTTGCCGTTTTCGGAGCACCTAGACGTGGCTCTTCAAAATCGACGTCCGACCACGTTGAAACTCGTTAAACCAATTTTTGACGGTCGCCATCGAAGGAGAAGAGTCACCGTACATAGCATTCAAGCGCTTTTTGATTTCGCTGTGCGATTTCCCTTCCAAAAACAAGAATCGAATCACCGACCGATACTGCTCTTTTTCCATTTTTCAAAAATCAACGGACACACTTGTTTTCACACGCTCTCAAAAATAAACTACAACTCCGATCCAGCTGAAATCTTGACAGTAACCATCAAGAAGGTTGTACTATGTGATAGAATATTTCTTTTGCGAGAGTGGCGCCATCGGGCGGTGAGGCTAAGTACTTATCGGACCACCCTCGTATACTTGTAATGTACGAACATTGTAGATAGTGACTGAATAAATTCATGTGAAAGACATGTTTTACTACACAAAATAGGTCATTCCATAATTTAGCTGCAGTAACTCTAAAGGATTCCATGAACTATGTAGTTTAAGTAGTGCAAATATCATTCGAATTTTCTGTTATTTCGAGAGTTTCTGTTGGTCGAATATCACATAACCTCTTTAGTTTGTCGTATCGATACTTTATTATTTAATGATCTACCTTATTCTTCAAATATTTTCACGATTTTCCATTGTAAGCTAAGATAACGTTTTTGGTAATATGTATTAATAGTAGAGGCTAAAGGGATCCTAAGCCCCTTACTATGTGAATTGATTCTTTCCTTACCTACAGTCGGTGACGTTTTCAATCTCCACGTTACCGATCTGTGAGCCCCATGTTGCTTTATCAGCAGATGTTTATCGACGATTGATCTGCTTGGATGACATCGCTTGTTACGGACTCTTGTGTATTGACATGCAGGTCCCATGCATTATAAAAATAAGAGTGTGATTGTACAATGAAGAGACAAGGAGAATGATTGAAAAGAAAATATGTGGTGCTTTATAATGAATAACTTATATAAGTGAGATATTTTTATAAATATAAATGGGTGATTCCAGCAGTTTTTTAAAATTGGCTGCGCGGGGGTCAGCCGATCTTCTCGGCGATTTTTTCTATGATAGAGTATGTCAAAAGAGCCTTTTGGCTATCTCAGATTTTCGTTAAAATATATATATGTCCATATATATTTTTTCAAAGTCTGAAAATCTGCCTGTTTTTGGCTATTTTTGAAAAATCGTAGCTCCGCGAGTTTTCAATATTTTACAACGTGCGACGTCTCATTTGATTCGTCTACTTTTATATTTTCAAGAAAAAAATTGTTCATTTATAAAAAGTGACAGCTACCGGGTGTACTCTGACGATATTCGTACGCTTTTTAGGGTAAATTTGATGCTCATATTCCGAGTACTGTAACTTGGTCAATTTTTAATATTTTTGAACCAACCGCATGTCATTTTTTTTTGTCTTTTTAAGACCTGTAATTTAATAAGACCCGGCGCATCTCAATGGATGCATTAAAACTAGAGATATAGCCGTTTGAAAATGACCATTTTTTGAAAAAATCGAAATCGCCAATTTTTGAAATCGTTTTATTGAGGCGCTTTTAGTTAGCTCAAATCGAGTAGAACAGGCTCTGAAAGTTTCACGATATGACCCTTTTTCATTTTCAAATAAAACGATTTCAAAAATTGGCGATTTCGATTTTTTCAAAAAATGGTCATTTTCAAACGGCTATATCTCTAGTTTTAATGCGTCCATTGAGATGCGCTGGGTCTCAAATTACAGGTCTTAAAAAGACAAAAAAAAAATGACACGCGGTTGGTTCAAAAATATTGAAAATTGGCCAAGTTACAGTGCTCGGAATATAAGCATCAAATTGACCCTAAAAGCGTACCAATATCGTCAGAGTACACCCGGTAGCTGTCACTTTTTATAAATGGACAATTTTTTTTTTGAAAGTAGAAGAGTTGACGAATCAAATGACTCCCCGCATGTCGAAAAATATGAAAAGTTTTCTGAGATACGAATTTTTCAAAAAAACACTTGTTTATTATACCGTATGTAATCTTCAATTTAAAATTTATAACAAAATAATATTAATAGAAATTGATATTTGACAGAAATGAGGAAGTACGGAAAGGTAATATATTAAAAATAATTGAAATTGAAACGTACAAGAAATAAAAGATCTTTAATTTCCATAGCCTTTCAATGTATATTGAGTTATATGGTAATCTAATTAAAAAGGTCGGTTGCTCATATCTGGTGGTGAACCTTATACAGCAAGATTCTTCTTTGAAATAAGATATGAATTTACAATCACTGCCTGAATTCTCGATAAATCAAACACATCTAATATAGAGTATAAAACATGGATATCCAATAAGGGCATACAAACAAACGTTGGAAAATTCGTATCTCAGAAAACTTTTCATATTTTTCGACATGCGGGGAGTCATTTGATTCGTCAACTCTTCTACTTTCAAAAAAAAAATTGTCCATTTATAAAAAGTGACAGCTACCGGGTGTACTCTGACGATATTGGTACGCTTTTAGGGTCAATTTGATGCTTATATTCCGAGCACTGTAACTTGGCCAATTTTCAATATTTTTGAACCAACCGCGTGTCATTTTTTTTTGTCTTTTTAAGACCTGTAATTTGAGACCCGGCGCATCTCAATGGACGCATTAAAACTAGAGATATAGCCGTTTGAAAATGACCATTTTTTGAAAAAATCGAAATCGCCAATTTTTGAAATCGTTTTATTTGAAAATGAAAAAGGGTCATATCGTGAAACTTTCAGAGCCTGTTCTACTCGATTTGAGCTAACTAAAAGCGCCTCAAAGTAGAAAAAAAATTTAATGCGTTTTTTTTTCGCTTATGAAAATGTCTATTTTTGAAAAAACGGCCAACTTTTATCGGCTATATCTCTGGTTCTAATGCATCGATTGAGATGCGCTGGATCTTAAATGAAAGGTCTTAAAAAGACAAAAAAAATGACACGCGGTTGGTACAAAAATATTAAAAATTGACCAAGTTATAGTACTCGGAATATGAGCATCAAATTGACCCTAAAAAGCGTACGAATATCTTCAGAGTACACCCTGTAGCTGTCACTTTTTGTAAATGAACAATTTTTTTCTTGAAAGTATGAAAGTAGACGAATCAAATGAGATGTCGCACGTTGAAAAATATTGAAAACTCGCGGAGCTACGATTTTTCAAAAATAGCCAAAAACAGCCAGATTTTCAGACTTTGAAAAAATATATATGGACATATATATATTTTAACGAAAATCTGAGATAGCCAAAAGGCTTCTTTTGACATACTCTATCATAGAAAAAATCGCCGAGAAGATCGGCTGACCTCCCTGCGCAGCCAATTTTAAAAAACTGCTGGAATCACCCAAATAAAAAACATAAGCTGATATACAGGGTGAGCCATTTTAATCTATGGATCCCCATATCTTAAATTTTATGCATAGTACAGAAAAATAGTTGAGACAAAAATTGCTCAATACCAAGTGGACCATATTTTGGTCACCTTAAATTTGACCTTGAACATGATGGATCAAGGTCATTCCAAGGTCAATGTTTTTTTAAATAGGAACTCTTACTTTTTATCTCGGATTCGGATTCTGCTTTAAATTCTATGTTCAAATCATGTAATATGTGTGTGGTCCAAATGACCACCACCCCACCCCAAAGTATTTTCAAGGTTAACCT